ATGAGTAAAATCTTTTAAGTAGGGAGTAGTCTTTAGCGACAAGCTTGACTTTTTATCTATCTATGGTACCATCAAGTTTACGCTCGATTTTATACACCCACTTGCAACCTATAACAGTCTTGTTATGGAGTAATAAAGTAATGGTACATGTTTTGTTGTCTTCAAATGCATATATTTCTTCTGCCATTACTTTTCTCTAATAGGCGTGTTTATAAGCTTCTTTGTAAGATTTTGGTTCTTTATTACTATTAGTGAAAAGGACAACATGTTTGAAAGATGAAGATAACTTATTATGTGTCATATATTTTTCAATAGGATACTTGTTGCTTGATGATTTTTTTGTTTTTGTAGAATTTATACTAACATGATAATCTTTTAAGTACATGATTGGAGCCAGCCTTTGGCTTTGTCTCGTAATGAAAAGGGAAAAAGCCTCAAGCGAACTGCATAATTAGTGGCTCCATTAATTTTCAACGTGTCACAAATAGTCAAAAAATTCTCCAGGTGAGAATTTGGATCCTCTGAAGGTACACCTCCAAACTGATTTTGCTGTATGACCTGCAACAGAGAAGGTTTAATTTCAAAATTATTTACTTATATAGGAGGTCTAACAATACTCCCCTTGTAACTATTTGGATCTAGCATGGAGTAGCCCCTCAGTGTTCTTTTGGGCTGCTCCATGGCTACAGTATGTAAATTGTGATTTGTTTCTTCTTGTTCCCTTCTCCTTTCTTTCTTTCTTTTTCGTGCACTTCCTCTATTTCTTCTGGCAGTATGTTCAATTTCTGGATCAAACAATAAATTTTCTAGTGTTACAGTACCTCGCATAAACAGTGTTAAAGGTACAGAAGAGAAGCAAAGAAAAGAAAAAAAATTTTGGAACAGTAAAAAAACTATATCTCAAATCTCAAGTAAAAAAAAAACTTTCTAATATCAACAAAAATTTTCAATTCACAGCAACGATGCCAGGAAATTGATGTATATTTTTGGTAAGCGGACCAAATTTTACAAAAGTAGCCATTTTATCGTCCTAATGGATTGAATATTTGTTGAATACCAGATCATTAATTTTTCCTAAGTTTGAGTAATCAAAGTTTAAATAATCAAGGATCAAAAGAATGACAACATAAAAGTTAATTCTCTTTGCAGTAAAATATATGCTAGAGGATTAATTTCATATCCCTTATTACAAATTCCTAGCCTATTTAATTGATGCAAGAAAAAATTAACCCACTAGAGTTAAAAGTGATATTCACTTCCTAATCCCTTAGGTAAGTAAAATTATTCACTGAACTTTTAATTCCCCAATTCCTTGGAAGAAGAAAAATTCACTGAAACTTGGATGGTTAATATTTTCCTCCACAGAAACTAGTTAAGCTTGTATAATTTTCCAATTAAAAAAAATCCAACTTACCTTGTCTATCAACATAAACAGTATCAATTTTTCCAAATATAATTGCTTAAAATAAACATCAAAAACCATATATAAGGTACTGGAGTAAATGAAATTACAATGCATCAAGATAAATAAGTTTAGAATTTGTCTTACAGAATATTACATTAATCCTCTAACATAGGAAAAAATTTAGCCTTCCATAAAAGCTTCTAAAAAGTCAAAACCTAAAAAAACTTTTTATGATGCCTTCTCTGTCCCCCCTCTCTGCTCTCTCTTCAACTTTTTAACTCTCCCAGCAAACTTTCCATGTCAGCCCTTCTTTCAGCTACTCCTGCTTTTTCCCTTTCCAGCCCAAGCCCATTAGCAAAGAAAATTAAAGATTCTACTACCAGCCTATTAGTGATGCCAGCCACGCAAGCCCACACCAAAATTATTCTAATTGCACCTATTTTTTTCAACAAAATAAAGAAACTACACTACAAGTTAAATGTAACGGTAATGAATGAAAACAACATGCAATTGTTACCAGAATGTATGCAATTGACCTAATTTAATTTATAAATGTGAGGTAAAATAAACATGCATTAGTACATATGTGTGGTTCTTCTTAGGGGAGTATTGGATGTGATATTATCGTTGTTAGTCTTGTGCTAAAAAATAGTAGGTGGGAACAATTAGGTTCATTAATATAAACTATGTTATCAAAACTAATGTGAAGAAGTAACGAGATATACGTGGTTTCATTGCTTTCAATTTCTTTTTCAATATAAGGAAAACATTCTTTTTTTAAAAATATTATATTTCTTGAGACATTTATGATATGCATAATAAGATCAAACACCAAGTATCCTTTTGTGTTATTTTTTAACCTAAGAAAAATGCTAATATTAACTCTAGGATCAAGTTTATCTTTGTGAGTAGTAATGACATCCTAAAGTTTTGAGATTACTAATATTACATGATTTGTTATATAATTTCTCAAAGGGAGAGACATTATTAAGATATTGCGTGGGGATATAGTTTATCAAGTAAACTCCATGCATGACAAGGTTTAGGGATTTCAATGCTTCTTTAAGATCGAAATAGTCTTTCATATTAAACTCAATTTTGTTGTTCAATATGATACATTTAAAAGTTTCTTGAAATTATTTTCAACCTATGAAATAAAGTTCATAAGATGGTTACATGTGTTTAGATTTAAGTTTCATGAACAAAATCCATGTGAATCAACTATGATCATCAATAATGGTAAGAAAGTATTTATGCCCATGCATCTAAATATCAGGACAAGGACCCCATATATCAAACAATCTTTTTACATGAGACTAACTAATAGGGAAGATAAGTTTCTTTCGTTTAGCAGTTTGACAAGTATCACAAACAAGGTTCTCATTGCTGCATATGTATGAAAATTTATGTTTTATATTATACTAAGACTTTTAGTAGACAAATGACCTAATCTAGCATGCTAAAAATTAATATTTTGAGCTACATATATTTTGGTTTAGTGGGAGTGTTCATATAATAAGATTGCCTTATGTGAGTCTCAAGGATGTATAGGCTATATCTTGCTTTAGCTATACTAATCCTCTTGTTGGTCTTGTTAACATGTATAATGCAACAAGTTGAACAAAAAAAACACCTTATAATTGTTGTTGGATACAGACTTCGATATAAAGATTAGCTTGTGTGAAAAACTAGGTATATATAATACGTTAATGAGGAGTAATTCATCATTGATCTTCACAATACCTTTGCGTGTGACATGTACATGATTACCATTAGGAAAATTTATGCTATCAGGTTTGATAGATTCATAAGAAATAAACTTTGAAAATGAGAAGGACACATGGTCTGTGACACTTGAATCAAGGATTCATGATCTCATGTTTTGAGTTTATGCTTTGGTCATACTAGTAATCTTTGTTCTTACTTGAAAGAGTTACATTTTGTGTGATAAAAGAATTTGCATTACATGGACAATTAATTTGAGTAGAGCAAGAATCATTCTCAATACTAGATTGTTGAATTAGCATCATGAGTGTTTGGTACTATTGCCGTGACAGTCTAACATCACAATTCTCACAAGAATAATATTGGTTCTGATTGTTTGAAGCTCCCTTGTGAGTATTTTACCTTTGCTCAAATTATATTTCTCATTATGTAACTTATGAATAGTTAGAAAATCTTGTTTTTGTAATATGCCCATTTCTTCCACGATAAATGTATATCTTCTTGTTTCTTCCACCTTTGTTATCTTGGTTATTAGGAAAACCATGTTTTTATACCACACAAGATCAATATGACCAATTCAACCACAATGTTTACATCACATGGAGTTTGGTATTATAACATCATTGTGTTGGCAAATTTTGGGTCATGTATATATATGATACATATTTAAATGTGTTAGTGTCATTATTTATTAAGCCAAATAATAAAGTGATCTGAATAAATTAAAGTTTTGGCTAAAGGCATATGTCATGAAAATATGATTGTGTAGAGACCATAGAGTAATTTCTAATTTGATGAGGGGCCAAATTGAAAATACTAAAACTTAAGTAATTAACCTAATTTTGGTTATATAAAGGGTCATGGTCCCCTTCTGAGAGCACACAGACAGAACGTAGTTACAGTCCCGTTCCTTTCTCTCTATCCCCATCAAGAGAGAAAATCCATAGGGAAATACAGGTGCTCTTCAGGTGGAAGACCATAAGATCAAATCAAAAGTGCTCTACAAAGGATATCGTCATTATGGCCAATTCAGGTACGCTTTCGCATTTAGTTTATAACATGTATACAGTATGAGATTATAGATATATGTTTGATCATTAGGATGAAGATCATATTGAATTACACTTTACCCTAACAATTGGTATCAGAGCCGCCCATACTTTATTCATGTTTTTCTTAAGAAATATTTAAGAATTGAGATTAATTTATGAAACCCTTAATCCCTAATTAAAAACCCTAAAATTGAGAATCCTAGGGTTTCTTAAAACCCAATTCTCTATTCCGCGTGTGCCATTATCCGGAAACGGTGTAACCATTGGCTCAACACGCGAAATTGGAGAAGGCCGCATGACGTGCCTCCAGTGTGGTTGGGAAAGGGATTTGCTGGGTTTAAAGGTAGGATGATGGGTTATCGTATGGCATGATTTTGGCCAATTCAGATTTTTTTTGGTGTGGGACCCCGTGCTTTTACTCCATATGGTCCAAGGTTCTCTGGTGATTTTGGAGGTCCCCTAGTAGCCTTGATGTTTCGTAGGAGACCCACTCAACCTGGGATGTTTCCAGGTGTTTGTTGCACTCCACATCGATCACCTAACCACACTTCACTTTTGGGCCCCCCACCAATCCAACGTCCCAAAAGTCTTTTGTCCTTTCACGCGGCGTTGGGCCTGCGGTCATATGGCAGTGGCGCCAACAGGTCCAATTCTTAACCCCTCACTTCAACGTTTACGTTCTGGACTTGATTTTCTTCGGAGGGTCCACCACCAAATTGAGCGAGAGGAGCGAAACGTTTTAGGCAGCGTCGGTGGGGAAGCTTCTGGATATATTGAAGGTGGAGAAGTTCCAGGTGGTGGGAACAAGTTATGGAGGCATGGTGGCTTTCAATTTGGCCAAGATGTTGAGGGAAGAGAGGGTTCAGAAAGTGGCCATTGCTAGCTCCGGTGTTAACATGACACTTGTTAACAACGTGGCGTTGGTTCAGAGGGCTCAATTGGACAACATTGAGGACCTCATGTTGCCTTACACGGACTTGAAACTTGAGACGGTGAGGGGAATGAGGTTCCCGAAGAGGCCCAAGACTGATGACTACCCAAGATGCAGGAAACTCTACAGTGCAAGACCAATGAGAGAATGGTGCAAAGCAGTTAGTTCATTATTTGGATTTATATTATGAAAAAGAATAGCAATTGAATATGGCCTAATTGTTTAGAACAGCGATGTTGGAGGCTCTATTAAAAGTTTGCAATGTTGATCATCTGTCTGAGATTTGTGGGGTAATGGTGGCCTTAGTTATGGAACAAATTCTGCAAATTCCAATGCGTACATTGTACCAGGGAGTGGCAGAAAACTATGATTCAGAAAGCTTATTATATTGAAGGTAATAGCATGATGGAGAAGCTTTTAGAAGTGGATCCCACTAGCCCAATGGTGGCCATAATTAACAATAAATAAAGCCTAAGCCTGGAGCAATGTGGCCAACTACACGAAATGGTTTTCAATTATTTGTTTACCAAGATGACGTGAGTAAAATACTTATATCTCCCTTACATGAAGCTACGGTGGAATTATGGCAGGAGTTATTTGCTAACTCAGAGGAGTATATATGGTATATATATTTGAAATATGAATGGTTGTTCCTCTCTTGGCGCGTAGCTTCGAATAGCTAGGTTTGTTGCGCAGAGAAGTTGGGTTAGCAACTAAAGAATTGGGTTCGTGTGCAAGGAGAATTCATATTCCATGTGTTAATTCTTGCGCAACATGAATAATTATGTATTTTATTAGTTACAATATGAATTTGGTTTTATTATATAAATAAAATATTAATTTGTTTGGTAGTTTAATATTTTTTTGTGAGCAAATTGAGTCAAGAAGTTACCAAAGTAACATCTCTTGAATTGGGTAGTTCAGTGAAAAATATTAAATGTTAGTGTTTGTGTATATTCATGCGAGTATTAGTCGGCCCAAAGGAAGATTAATATTTGGCCGAATTACATACACACCGTAATGATAAACATGTGATAATTATAAGGATTTGCTTTGTCGATGATAAATCAATCCAAAGATTGGTTTGTTGTTGGACGTGCTTTATTGTCAATGTTTGATTATTACAACAAGATACCTCTGGCAGTTAATATTACTGTCCAAAGACTTGATATTGATGGTGCATTGGGTGTCTTGAGATGGGTTAAACCATTATTTGAATATATATTTTATTTATAATTATTTATTTTTATAATGTGAGCATAATTAGTTTATTTCTTTTGTTCTAATCCAGCTACAATTGCTTCTGTATCTGCAAATTTGAATTCTGTTCCGATCCTCAATGGAACAAATTTTAAGGACTGGAAAGAGAATATTGATATTATTCTTGGCTGCATGGATATGGATCTTGCGTTAAGGACTGAGCAACCCCCTACTCCTACGGATTCAAGTACCTCTGAACAAAAAAGAGATTATGAGAAGTGGGATCGCTCAAATCGCATGAGTCTAATGATCATTAAGCGCGGCATCCCGGAGATGTTTAGGGGCACTGTTTCTGAAAACATTACAAGTGCCAAAGAATTTCTTGCTGAAATTGAACAGCGCTTTGCAAAAAGCGATAAGGCGGAGGCAAGCACTCTTCTTCAGAACTTGATCTCCATGAAATATCAGGGCAAAGGAAATATCAGAGAATACATTATGAGCATGTCTAATATTGTTTTAAGCTCAAGGCACTAAAACTTGAACTCTCAGAAGACTTGCTCATTCATTTGGTGTTGATTTCTCTTCCCGCAACATTTAATCAATTTAAGGTATCTTACAACTGTCAAAAGGATAAATGGTCTCTTAATGAGCTCATTTCTCATTGCGTGCAAGAAGAAGAAAGGCTAAAACAAGACCAGACAGAAAGTGCTCATTTTGCAAGCACCTTTAAGGCTAAAGGCAAAAGAAAGAGATCGGAGGATCCCAAGAAGGAAGCTGCTAAAGGTCCAGAACAAAAGAAACAAACTCAAGAAAATAAATGTTTCTTTTGCAATAAGACTGGACACATAAAGAAGCAATGTGCTAAATATCATACTTGGCGTGAAAAGAAAGGATTGCCTAAACTACCGGAAGCCAACTAATTCTGAAAGAAGAATATACGTTCAAAATGGCAAATTGGTGGAAATGGAGACTATTGAACATTTTAGATTATTATTGTGTACTGTTTTTTTTTTTTTAGATTTAAAAGACAATTTTTGTCGTGCCGTCTTTTAGACGGAATTTGGTTTCAGTTTCTTATTTGGACAAATTAGGTTATTTGTGTTCATTTGGAAACAATAAGTTCAATTTGTCTTTTAATTCAGATATTGTTATAATTGGTTCATTTTTGGCTAATGATAATCTATATTTACTTGATATTGTGGTCACCTATAATGCAACTCTTAATACAGAATCCCGTGGTACTAAACTAAAATTAGACTCCCGAACAGTAAGTAGTTACTTCATTGGTTATTCTGAAAGAGCCAGGGGATATAAATTTTATGATCCCGCATTAAAGACAATTTTTTGAGATGAGAACTGTTATGTTCTTTTTTTTCTAAGGGAGACAAGTTTAGTCTAAATTAGTGCCCAAAGGGGAACTTGGAAGATTCCCCATGCATCAGCTATCGGGAGTTTGATGTATTCCCAAATATGTACGCGTCCAGACATAACATACATAGTTGGGGTTCTAGGCAGATATTTAAGCAATTCAGGAATAGACCATTGGAAAGCAGCAAAAAGGGTCATAAGATACTTAAAGAGAACAAAAGATTATATGCTCACATACAGGAGGTCAGACCAGTTGGAGATCGCTGGGTTTTCTGACTCAGATTTTGTAGGATGTCAAGAATTTGTAACATGCTATGAGACATCAAATCATGGAATATGGCTGAGAAATTTTGTCACAGGGCTGCAAATTGTGAAAGGCATTGAAAGACCACTTAAGTTATATTGTGACAATAAATCAGCTGTATTGTTAAGGAAAGAGTACAAAGTGGACAGATTTCCACAGAACACTTAAGGACAAACTCCATGATAACATATCCTCTAACTAAAGGACTTCCGCCCAAGGTCTTTCATGAGCATGTTGCTCACATGGGTGTTTTACAGTTTGAGGAATTTGTGGTTTAGTGGGAGTTAGTCACTTTCATATATTTTATGTTCTATGTTTAATTTCATATATGCATACATTGATTTTTGGACATATTTGGTTATCTATAGATATGCGGTTTTTGTTCATTCATTACACTTTGTACATTAAGGATATTATATCGATCTCAATAAGTTAAAGTTTGGACCAGTTGAAAATAGACGTGTACAGATCATCTTCACGTAATTTTTCATGCTACACATTTCATGATGAATCCATGTCATTTGGTTATGTTAGGATGAGTAATCATTGTTGGTTTTAGTTGCGATGATGCAATGAAAAGCTGGTTTGGTTCTATATCCTAATATGATTAATGGACAGGACTTTTGGAATATGCTAAAGGAATATAATGACAATTTTGAGCTCATAAAGTCTAACACATTTGTAAGGTTGTAAAGACATATATATTTGTGACCAGTGGGAGATTGTTGGCAAATTTTGGGTCATGTATATATATGATACATATTTAAATGTGTTAGGGTCATTATTTATTAAGCCAAATAATAAAGTGATCTGAATAAATTAAAGTTTTGGCTAAAGGCATATGTCATGAAAATATGATTGTGTAGAGACCATAGAGTAATTTCTAATTTGATGAGGGGCCAAATTGAAAATACTAAAACTTAAGTAATTAACCTAATTTTGGTTATATAAAGGGTCATGGTCCCCTTCTGAGAGCACACAGACAGAACGTAGTTACAGTCCCGTTCCTTTCTCTCTATCCCCATCAAGAGAGAAAATCCATAGGGAAATACAGGTGCTCTTCAGGTGGAAGACCATAAGATCAAATCAAAAGTGCTCTACAAAGGATATCGTCATTATGGCCAATTCAGGTACGCTTTCGCATTTAGTTTATAACATGTATACAGTATGAGATTATAGATATATGTTTGATCATTAGGATGAAGATCATATTGAATTACACTTTACCCTAACACATTGATCTTGAGATCAAGACTTCTCATAACACTACTATCAAGAAATTGTCTCTCCTCTTGAGTTATGCACAACAAAAATTTAAATAAAGGAGATATAAGATTAATGAGAAGTACATGAGACTTGACATTACTATATTGCTTGTTTAAGCCTCTTAGAGACTGCATAACCTGTGTGATATGGTTGAAAGAACCATGCAATAACACTTGTTAAAGTAAACACATGTGGGATTGAGTTTGAAATTCTCAAGCTCGTCCCATATACCTCTAAGCTTAGTAAAGAATTCAATAATGAAGAGATTATCTTGTTTGAGTGAAGATGCATTTATCTAAAGTTCAAATATGTGTAACATATTTTCTTGAACGTAGCTCCATATCAAATTATTCCATATATTCTTTTACCTTTTCCATCCAAAATATGTTTTTCATTGGATGAATAAGATTTTCGTTGGGATGAATTTATAAGAAATTATTTACATGAGGTGAACGTAAATTCCTTCTTCCATGATTCTATAAAAAAACAAAAATAAGAAAAGTTATAACATAATACCTACTATAACTCTTAAAAGAAGAGTTATGGTACCATATCAAAATAAAAATAAAATAAAAATAAAAGCAACATAACAATAATACATGTGTATTAGATAAGATAATAAAGGAAAAAAAAGAATAGAAAATAACTTGAAATATTTTATTAGAGAACATATAATATTTATAGAAATAAAATAAAAAAAGTGAAAAAAGTATGTTGCTAAATTATATCATTAATCGTATAAACACAAAAAAAATATTTGAATTTGAGTGAAAAAGTTAAGATACCTGTTTCAACTTTGTTTGTTGTCCTAAGTAAATTTTTAAAAATTCTCCCATCTTGTCTTTTCTAAGCATGTTGTAAAAGTGTAGTATTAAGGTATTTGATAAAATAATGTATCGTCCCTCTAAATAATTCTTAATAATTGAATATTATATATGCTTAAAAATATAATTTTTAATTTAAAGGATATAACTACTAAAAATAATTTTATAGATTTTTATTAAAAATTTAACTATAATCCAAATCTTCTTTTATCTGATAAAATACATCTTTACTGTTGAATGTGAGTAGTCTCCCATTTTCCTTTTTGTTCGTATTTAAAATACATAACTATCAATATTTAATGATTTTTTTAAATATTGTTTTAATTCTGAAATTAATATTTACCTTGGATATTTTGACGTTAATGTTTTTCCAAGTCCTCAGGAGCAAACCTTTATTCTAAAAGCCGCTCTCTTCTCGGTAAATTTTAGTTATATATATATATATATATATATATATATATATATATATATATATATATATATATATATATATACTTATTTAATGAATTTAGTTGCATTCATCTCTTGCAATTTTAAATAATTTTCTAGCAAATGAAATAAAATACATGAGTAGTGCACAATAATATATATGTGGAATAATTAATGCCTTTGTAAAAAGTCAACAATGCCACAATTATGGAAGATAGAATTCATTTTCGAGGGTAGTTCAGTGGCAACACTGGAAAAGATGTTTAATTGTGTTTTATTGAAAAGAAGAAGACAAAGATTGTGTTAGAAAGGTGTTGCCAACCGCCGAAACAGATGTTGGCAGCAACATCTCCAACGTCACTAAATCTTTGTTTTCTTTGGGTCGTATGCTTCACAGCCGAAAACTACACTTTTAACTTTTCATGGGCCGGTCTAACATTTGTGTCTTTGGGTCTACAGCCATTTCATAAGGCTGTTTCTTTTTTCACCTCCATATTTTCTTCCTCCACCCCACAATTAAAATAAATCTCATTTTATTATTTATTAAAACATCATTTTCAAAACTGTTAATCCGGAAATACATGGAACCCCTAATCTAAAATACATTTTTTGATTGACTATTACAAAAATACATTATTATGGATCAAGTGTTTCAAACCACACTTTCAAGTTCAAAAATATGGTTTGGATGGGGTAGTCTGAATCCCTATATTCGCTTTTAGACCAATTTTCATGTAATATGTATAAAATATTAACACTTTCTTATCTTATGAGCTAAAAATAATCTTCAATAAAATGGAACCACAATAAACAAAATTGCAGGAACTGTGGAGGTATAAAGGAGCGGAAGAAAAGAAATTTGTAGGGTTTCAAAAAAAATTAGTAGAAAGATATTTCAATCATTTTACATGGATTATGGAAGTGTAGGAAGAAGAAACCTTTCATAAACTTGGTTGTAATTATGAATAGTAGATGATGTAATTTTATTTTTTAGTTTTAAAAACTATTTTAAAGATAAATTTTAAAAAATTGTTCTTGAAAATAACTTGAAAAAGAAAATTATTTTATAATTTTACTTTTAAAATCTATTTTAAATGAAAGAGAATAACATAAATGAAAAAAAAAATTATGGTTTTGGATTAATGAGTTTCTAAGCTACTCACTCCATAAAAGTTTCATATGAAGGGTGAAGCAAACTATACACGAAGGAACAAAACTAATATAATTGCTTTCTTTGCATTATATCATACCATAGTAGTCACAATGCTGCGAGTCTTAACCGCTTATACACGTACATAGCATTGCAATGTATACAACCTATTGTCTCTTTGTATTGCCCTCAACCCTTTGATGCACCATTTGTCTCCTTTGGTGCAGATCAATTAGCTCTTCAACTTTCCTTTATCTCCTTGGAGGGTCATATTCAGGTGAACTAAAAGAAAGGGAGAAAGCAAGAAAGTTCAGTTTGAGACAAGAGATGGTAGAGACTTCAATCCAACATACTTTGTGACAAAGCTCGGAATTACAGATGTAATTAGTAATAAGCAATGTAATATTATTTTTGTGTCTCATCTTTCACAAACCGACCCTTAATTCTCATCCTGCTTTCTGCCCGAACTTTTCGTGATTCGTATCTGATGTGCTTGTCATACCTGTTTTCGATGTGAAGAATGTCAATTTTATAGATCAATTTACCAATACAAGTTTATAATATATATATATATATATATATATATATATATATATATATATATATAGATATATATATATATATATATAGAGAGAGAGAGAGAGAGAGAGAATCATCAAAATCATGCAAATATCATATATCTCAAATTGGTTCCACCAACATTGGTAGAAAAAAGTTATGCGTGTCTAACTGGTGTTAAAGTTTGTCTCAAATGCAAATGAAGTGTAATATGACAGTAAATTGAAATTGGATTTGGTAGAAAAATAAGCTTTATTTTTTCTTGCTTTTGATGTATTCTTCTTCATCTCCTAATTTGTATTCATTAACAAAGAAGTGTAACGTAACAAGGTAGCAATTATAACTCAAAAACTTGGGCACCTCACAGCAAAATATGGCTCTGATTTTAAGAAAACTTTCAACAGGTGCATTAAATTTGTTTGGACTTCACCGCTACATTAAATTTAGAAATTATAATATGGAATACAACACACGTGGCAAGCAAAAGGAGGGCATGATACTGATACCTTCTTGTTTTCTTCTTCTCTCTGTAACGCAGTAATGCTGAATCTCTTTCATGACTTGTTAACTCATAAGGAGTAGCTTTAGGAGTAGGGGATGAGTTTTCAGCCATGAAATAAATTGATGATTTTCCTTGGTTGTTACAATAGCTGTGAGTTGCAGGGATGCTAAAACTTGGATCTTTAGATGAAATTAGGTCGTTATAATCATTCATTGAGGTATCAGAAGGAACAATTTGATTTGCACGATCACTGCTTTCTCCATGCCAACAAAACACACCTGCCTGCATATTGGGAATTTCAACTTTCCTTCTCTTTTTTCCCATTTTAAGTAATATCACACACTGCATTAAATAACTTTTTTTTTTTCAGGAACTAGTACTAAAACATACTATTAGTTATAGGGACCAGTCTCGGTTTTCGAATTAATGGTTATATAAATGACTAAAGTGGTACGCAATTTACTGTTTCAGCAGGACTAATCATGAACTGAAAAGGAAAAATATCTAAATGGCTAAACTATTCTGTTCCATGGTTATAAATCTTCTCCTAGTTCGTATCAACAACAGAACCAAACAACCCCCACAAAATAACAAAGCCAGATCATTTTCCTGGTGACTGGTTTTACTTATTCAAGTTTAGCACAACAGGTTAAATTGGATTCATACTTATTACAGAACAGTTACTTCAAGACATTTTCTATAAAATCAAACAATCCAAAATGAAAAATGCTAGCATTAATTCAGCTATTAAGTTAGTGAGCATAACATTTTCCCAACGAACTAATGCTTGAATCGTGCCAGTGATATAAGATAGTAGCAGATATCCAAATTTCATGCAACCAGTTTCTTGTGAAAAGAGATCATTTGCAATGAACTCTTTACCTCGTCATCAAGGAATAAAAATGTCTATCCCTTGATTAGTATGTTCATAGCTTGCTCCTAATGAAAACAAATTCCTCTCTTATATTTAAAATTAGTCAGATAAGGAGAGGATTAAAACGAATGAAATACAAGGTTTACCTCGTATGAAGGAAACATATTAGCCTCTGCGTTACGTTCAAAATCAGTAGACAGATTTTCAATTTTCAGTTCTCGGTCAGCATCTACTTCTCCATGAATGAAGTCAGGCTCCATCTTTATTAGTTCACGGAGCTGACTCAGAATTTCTTCTTTCTTACTCCCGCACGCACCGTTACGATTCTGATTCAATAACAATCCTGAAACATGTCAAAATCGTAACAATACTCAAGGATATTCATCTGCACTTTTTAACACCCAAATTCCAAAGAATCAAGAATCTTTTGTATTCCAAACCAATCATCCAAAGTCAAAATAAATAAATAATCCACAAAGTCCCAATCCTATGTAAGAAAAAAAAAAGTTACAACTTCCAACCTAGAAGCTGGTACGAATGCAACTATATTAGAAATATTGAGAAAAAAAGTGTTGTTTATAATAGTTTAGAACAAAATACATATTTTAGTTTCATTTTCTATTTTCACAACCAAGTAAAAACCTGCTCAATCTTGAAAACACTTTCATTCAAGACTCTAAAAGTTGGTATGAATTCAAGAATATAATGATCTCTATAATGCATGACTCGACATGACCAGGAAAAAAATTAAAGTGAAAACATACACCTTATGAGAAGAAGCTGAGGAAGCAATCAAATATTCAAGACCAACAACAGAAGGAGCATGCCACATGTGGGAATCGAAAAGGCCATCTTCATGGGAACTTCCGCCCTCAGTTGAATGTAGAGATTTTTCAGTAAGACCCAGAATCATTAACATCTGAGTCACAGAAGGGCAGCCAGAGAACCCTTCAAGGGGTCTCCGTTGGTGTTCCTGAGACAGCAAGTGGTTGTTATGAATTTGGCAATCACAGTAGTGGCACAAAACAGAGTTCTCAGCGAAACAGAGAACCGATGCAGGGGAATCACCACACCCATCACAGAGCTGAGTACGCGAGTGCTTGGAGAAAAGCTGGTTGGGAAAGTGAACTTTGCGGTCACAGAATAAACATAACTTTGCAGAATCAGCTCTGCAATATAGAAGAGCTATGAATTCCCCACAATAGTCGCATCTTCTTTGTTTTTCATTGGGAGAACCAGTCATGTTTTTCATTGAGACGTGGCTTCAGGTTTCAAACTATGTAAGAGGAAAAGGCAAATGATATAATCATTTTGAAGAACTACTATGAAAAGGATAGTTGACTTCGTAGAAACAGAGTACCATAATTTTGTTCCTTATAATATAAGGATGTGAGTACCTTTCAAAGTGTGATTTTAACTTTGCACTTTTCTCACGATTCAAACTATGTAGAATATTTCAACTCATTCAACCAGATTTAACATTTTTATATTTCATTTTAATTTTTTATGAGATTTCATTTCATGATGATAGTATGTTCGAAAATTTAATTCATGTGGCATGTTCAAAGCATCAAAAGCTAGAACAACCCCATTGGTTAAGATGGTAGTACGATGTTGGCTAGGTTCATGTTGGAATGCAAGTAGCCACTCATGAATGGTTGATTTAAAGATAAGAACAGTGGGAAATGATGGGATTAGAAGTGAAGAGAAGGGGGGCCAAAGGACACTTCAATTCATTTTTCAGTACCAAAGTCCATATGGGGTGTTCGTGCCCGTGGGCCCAAACTATGTTTTTCCCAATTTGCGGTACGAAACTTGGGCTCCACCTACCCAGAAAAATAAAAATGAAAAAGAAGTCACAGTTTCAGTTCTCCATCTTTTCTGATAAGGATTTCACTTCTCTAAACTTGATTAGTCGTTGATTCATTTAATCATAATATAAATGTTGTATTGTTGAAACTTGAAAGCTTTCAACTTCAACGATCATATTATATCACGTCTTAAATAATAATGAATTAGGACATATCCAAGATCAGAGAATTAAGACCCCATATTCCATTAATATATATGGAGAGAAAAAATATTTTTCTTTTAAAAATTAACTTCTATACAAGAAAATTAGTAGAAATTATAATGTAAAGTTTTTGTTTTTATTTTTAATAACTTTATCTTATGAAAAAACTCATTTTATTTATTTTTATTAAACTATTTTCAAAATAAACTTATGCAATTATTCTCTCAAACATTTTTTAAACCATTAGCCATGTCAAAATATAGTGTATATTTGTTCATACAACTGGTTCATCCAATGAAATTTTTCATTTTGTTGTAACAGCAAAATCTAGATAATCTCTTATTCCTGAAAAAAAAAAAAAGGTCTTACTATTTGGTTTGAAATACGTGGGGAAGAAATATCTAAATAAAGTGAGTTAAATGGTGAAGAATTGGAGTAATTTAAAGTTGATTGTAGTGATTAGACATAAAAATAGAGTTTGGGTAGTAATCAGCAAACTGGGGAAAAAGATGAGTGGTCCTTCAGAGGGCATTAATAGTATAAAAGTGTGACTTCATAACAAGGAGTGTGTTAATGATAAAAAGTATATTTTAAAATTTATTTTAATGTCCTATTGACATTTTTCCTCAATAGATTACATCCCACCCCCACCAAAGTTCAAATCCATTTATTTGATTGCTACTGATATTTTAAAAGAATTAAAAATCCATATCCTTAGTCATAATTGAATTTATGTCATATTCGTATTCGAATATTTTTTACTTATATATATATATATATATATATATATATATATATATATATATATATATATATATAACATATAAAAAATGTGGGCCAAAATAATAACTAAAAATATATATTATTCATAAATTTACTTTTCATATATTATTACTTTAAAAAATTTATAATATTGACGAAAAATATTTTTATTTTCATATTTTGTTATATTCTAAAATAGGTTAATTTGTACTCAATATTATTTCAAGTGACAGATTATTAAAATGGAACAAATTTTAAAATATTATTAAAATGAACAAATTTTAGAAATTTTACGATTTGAACAAGTAGGACAAATTTGTAAGAAAAAAGTTATGCTATTTATTATGTTTTTTTTTTATATCTTTTGTAAAATGTAGCATAATTTTGGATTTTTATTTATTTTTAAAGTCATTTTGTGGCACGTTTACTAATTTTCTTTTATTAAAGTCATTACAGAAGTTTTTCTATTTTTCTTTTATTATTATTAATTGTTTGAAAAAGTTTCATATAGTATATCTGAATTATAATATATATGGATCACATAATGTTAATTTGAAATCTAATATGGCAATAGAGTTAGTATTATCTCAATTTTCCTTAGTTTAGAAGAAATGTCACGAAAAGTCTCATTTTACTCACCTTGATTATTTAAATATGATTTATATATTTGTTCTTCGCCTAATTGATTCTAGTTTGAAATCTAATATTAATATTAAAATTGTGTTATGTAGTACAATTTTAATTTTTTTTCTTTTACTTTTTTATGTTTTAATTTAATTATAAATTATATTATATGTAATATTTTTCTATTTATAATATTTTAAGATTATAACTTTATAAGTAAAAAAAAATAAAACTATAACAATAGTTAAACAAAAAAAATACATTAGCATACAATAATTATGAGAAATATTTGTGTTTAGTATTATTAAAAAAATTTGTTTGATTTTCATACATTATTAATTATTATATTCAGTTTTTAATCATCAAAGCTAAAGAAGTTCTCAGTTAAATGGATAATTAAGTGATGTGTATACTCATACGTGTGGGTTTAAGTGTCATAAAAAAGCCTGTTAAATTTTTTTTATCATATATTATCCAAAATTCATCAAAGATAAACAGGTATCTCTTATTGTAAACATTTTTAATTAAAAACAATGAGGGGAAGATTGATGAAAATGTCCCTACATTCCCAAGAGATGATTTTGATGATGATTCAAGTCAACTACATTCAAGTCAACACCATTTAAGATGAATTAAGGACAAACTGAATTTAAGACGTTGGTGACAATGTGAAATATTTCCCTACATGCCCAAGATATGTTTTTGATAAAGATGATGATTCAAGCAAACTCAAGATGATTCCTGAAGACTAGATAGAGTCTTAGAAAACTGGATATGGAGGTACAAGTTGATGAAGTAATATTATGCATAAGCCTCCAAAGCACAAATATGATAAAATTCATAACATGATATTTTTCACTGTCATAATCAATTATGATGCATCAGAAATAGAAAAATGATTTTCTCTGTTATAATTGATTATACTGGTAACATAATCAATTATGACAATTCAAATTTGAAAAATATATCTATTTTGAAGAATAAATGTTTTTAAATATATCCTGATTTTTATTCACGAAAATATTAATGTCCAACGACCATTTTCCGATGCTATTTTTCTATTTAATTAAGTTTTGATGAAAAATAAAAAACACACAATTACAGAATTCAAAAATACAATTTACATTTAATCAGTTTTGAGAAAAGAATTCTGAGCAAGGCAACAGAGATATTTTACACCTTCTGAGAAAACCCTCTTCTCTACTGCCTTCTGTACTTTCATTGTTAATCACACTTGTTCTTGGATATTAGCATTCTACAGGCTTCTACAATTTGTTGTCTCCATTACCCAGGTGTGACTGTTCTTATCTTACTCCTTCATCCTTTGTGGGTTTAGAAGGTGTTTTCATCCCTTTGATTTGTTAAGAGGAGATGTTCATCCTTAGTGGGATTCTAGGGAGGTGTTCATCCTTAGTGAGTTTCTAAGGAGGTGATTGTCTTTTTAATTAGTTTACTTTTTATTGGTTCTTCTACTAAGTTGATTGTAATTTGTAAACTGAATTTAAAAGATAATGAATTGGGAGTCACTCTTGTGATTAGAGTTGATTGGGAACTGGATGTAGGGTTGACTATACCCGAACCAGTATAAATTACTGTGTGCTCTTCTCTTTCCCTTATCTTTTTCTCTTTACCTGATTATATTATCGCTTCCGCTTTATCTGTGTTCAAACAAATTATTGAATCACAAATAAATTTTTAATTTGACATCTATTTTAATTTTTGCATCTATTCACCTCCCTCTAGATGCTATTTGTCTAACAAGTGGTATCAGAGCTTGGTTAGATAAAATATTTCTAAACGATCTGTCAAGATGTTTATGCAGAATCAGGTTTACAGGAAATGAACCTCAATAAAACAGACCACCATTATTTGAAGGAGAAAACTATAAGTTTCTGGAAAGTAAGAATGAAAATATTTTTACAAATACTAGATTATGGTGTTTGGGATGCTGTACTCAATGGTCCCTACATTCCGATGAGAACAACGGAATCTGGAGTTGTTCCAAATACTTTTGACCAATGGACGTCGGATGAAAATAAGCGTGCCCATTATGATGTAAGAGCACGAAATGCTATTGTTTCTGCCTTAACTCGTAATGAATTTTTCAGGGTTTCACAATGCAAGACGACAAAAGAAATATGAGACATTCTTGAAGTAACACATGAAGGAACAAATGAAGTAAAGCGAGCACGTAAGAACACACTCATCCAGGAGTATGAATTATTTCAAATGTAGAAAAATGAAAGGATCACAAATTTCCAGACACGCTTCACACATATAGTAAATCACTTGAAAGCATTAGGAAAGAGTTTTGATAATGAGGAGTTGAACACAAAGATCTTGAAATCCTTAGACAAGAATTGACAACCAAATGTCACTGCTATTACAGAATCAAAAGATCTCATAGAAATGAATATTGCTACTCTATTTGGAAAGCTGCGAGAACATGAGATGGAGCTACAAAGGTTAAAGAATGGTGAGCAAAATCAAGCCAAGATGATAACTCTAAAAGTAGAAAAATCTTCACAAGACGAAAGCAAAAATGAAGGTAAATTTTCGGATTCCGATATGTCTCTTTTTATTAAACAATTTTCTCGCTTTATGAAGAACAGGAAAAAAGAGACAACAAAGAAAAGAGGAAACAAATAAATACCATTGCTATGAATGTGGAAAACCTGGCCATATCAAACCAGACTGTCCGGAATTTAAGAAAGATGTGAAGAAAGGGAAGAACAGTATTTATAAGAACAAACGCAAAGCTTATATTGCATGGGAGGATAATGATTCTTCCACAACACAAGAGTGTTCTTCTGAAAGCAGTGATGGAGAAGAAGAAGCAAATCTTTGCTCGA